CCGAAGTTGTCTCAGACAGAGTATGTTGAAAATGTTCTTTAGAGATTCAACATGAGTGAGGCAAAATCAATTTGCACTCTCTTGGGTAGTTACTTTTAGTTATCCAAAGAACAATTGCCTAAATTGGAAGCAAAGGAAGAACAGATGAAGAAGACTCCGCATGCTTCAGTAGTTGGAAGTTTGATGTATGTTATGATATGCACAATATTTGATATAGTATATGCAGTGAAAGTAGTCAGCAGATTTATGAGCAATCCAAACAAACTTCATTTGGAGGCGATTAAGTGGATTCTCAAGTACTTGAGAGGATCAATTGACAAAGTTCTTTGCTTTGGTGGTGTATGGATTAATCTACAGGGTTATGTAGATTTTGATCTTGCTGGAGATCTTGATGGCAAGAGAACCACAACGTGTTATATCTTCATTTTGAGAAAGATTACAATCAGTTGGGTTTTTGAGTTACAGAAGATTCTTGCGCTCTCAACCACAGAAGCGGAGTATATTGCTATCACAGAGGCTAGCAAAGAGATGATTTGGTTGTAAAGTTTCTTGAGAGAACTTGGCATGAGGTAAAGGAATGGGAAGCTATATAGCGACATCATGAGTGCTATACATCTAGCCAAGAATGCTACATCCATGCTAGGACAAAGTACATCCAGTTTCGGAATCATTTCATCAGGTCGCTTTTAGAAGATGGTTAGTTATCTTTGAAGAAGATACACATGACCAAAAATCCTCAGACATGCTAACGAAGACAGTGATAGTTGAAAAATTGAAGTTATGTGTAGCTTCAGTTGGTCTTCATGGAGGATGAGAACAGGGGTGAGCCACACTATCAGTACTATGATTGGTATTACATATAAGGAGAATGATTGATTGCAATCAGTTCCAAGTGGGAGGTTGTTATGTGTGGAATCTAATTGTGTTGATCAATCGGGTTGTTCTGTTGTCTTTGACCTCAAAGCTTGTCGTGTACACTGGGGGGTGCGGGGGGTTTACCACATGCTTGGGTTTGGGTGCTTTGCACTAGAAAATTTTTTCCGTACAATTCCCCAGCGCTGCATACCTGAACGCCCCCTCCAAGTGCTGTGTTCCCGAGTGCCCCAGTGTTGAACAACAGAGAGCAGAGCATCGCAGTGGTCAAGATATGACACCACATTTGGTCAAGGCAGAGACTGAGCACCACAGCGCTGAGTGTTTGAACGCTGCAGCATTTTTTCAAAAAGAGAGTAGGCATTGTAGCTCCCCAAATTGGAGCCGTAGCGCTGCGAGACGAACCAAACGATTTTTTTTCTCGTTTCTTTGAAGGGTTGTCTCCCTTGGGGTTATTTTACTTGGTTTTCTCTTGTATTTTTAGTTAGGGCAAGTTTGAGAATGGTCCATGTAAGAAGAGAAGCAAGGAGAGAGTGAGAGAGAAGAGAGATCTGTACTTATTTATCCTTGATTTCTTGGTGGGATGTGGCTCCGTAGTTTTTTTTTCTATTTTGAGTTTTTTCATGTTAAATCATGGTGTCCTTTACTTTTCCACTGCTTTTACTTTCTTACTTGTTTTGCCATTGTGGTTACTCATCTCATCATCTCTCCCCAAAATATTCTAAGACAAGAGCTAAGAGCTCTAGATGGGTGGGGAGATTGAGAGCAGTTACGTCCTATGTGTTTTTTGTGGGATTCTCTAGCATAAGTAGTGGTCCGACTTCTGGGAGATAGATTTTTGGAGGTCGGAGAGAGTTTGGTGGTTCTATTGCTCCAATCTTGGTATATGCCAATGTATAGCTTCACTCAGCACAAGGCTTGGGATGCACCCAATGTGGTCACATGTGTGACTTATATTTCTACTTTGTCATGTTTGATTTTATTTGACTCGGGTGCTAGCCATTCCTTTATTTCTGAAAAGTATTTTACTTTACTATATTAATCTTTTGTATGGTTGCCTTCTGCTTTATCTATTATTTTTCCTAAGATTGATTTTATGGTAGCTAGCCATATATATATATAAGTGTGAGATAGAGATTTTTGATAAAAAGTAAAAGTTTGGTCTAATAATATTACCTCTATTTGAATTTGATGTCATCCTAGATATGGATTGGGTGAGTTAGTATAGTGCTCAAATTGATTGTGAAGAAAAGTCTGACTTTATTTCTGAAAAATAAGAGCTATATTTTTCAGGGAGTTAGATGAGTATTATCTTATCTAATATCTATTTGGTGAGGAGACAAGTTGGAAAAAAAAGTGAGTATAATATTTCTTGCTTATGTGAATGATAAGAGAATGAATCCTGAAAATATTGAGGAGGTTCTTATGGTTAAGGAGTTTTCTGATGTATAACCTGAAGAGTTGGTGAGTCTACCACCTAATAGAGAGAGAATTTAGTATTGAGATTTTACCTTGTACAACTTCTATTACTAAGGCTCTATATAAGATGACACCAAAGGAGCTACAATAGTTAAAAGTGCAACTAAAACTACAAGAATTGGTTGATTAAGTATTTGTGAGATCGAGTGCCCCCGTGGGCTGCACTTGTTCAATTTGATAATAAGAAAGATGGAATGATGAGAATTGTGTAGATTATGAAGAATTGAATAAAGTAACAATTAAAAATAAATATCCTATACATAGGATCAATGATATGTTTGATTAGCTAGTAGGTGCTTCTATATTTTCTAAATTTCATATGAGATATGGCTATCACCAGCTGAAAGTAAATGAGGAAGATGTAACGAAAACTGCATTTAGTATCACATATGATTATTATGAGTTTTTAGCCATGCCTTTTGAGGTGATCAATGCGCATGTAATCTTTATGGGCTTGATGAACAAATATTAAAAGATTATCCAAATTAGTTTGTTATTATATTTATAGATAATATTCATGTATATTCTAAATTTGAATAAGATAACATTATCATCAGAGTACTATTCTGGAGACTTTGAGGCAGCACCGAATGTTTGCTAAATTTTCTAAGTGTAAATTTTGATCGAAGAGCATTTCATTCCTAGGTCATATATTGAATAGTGAACGAATTTTTTGTAAATCCCCAGAAGGTGTAAATAGTTGCGAACTGGCTGAGTCCTACTACTATAACTGAGGTATGTAATTTTTTTTGGGAATGACTGAGTATTATAGAAAAATTTTGTATAAGAATTTTCCTAAATTATTATCCCTTTGATTAGACTGACCCAGAAGGTAGTGTTTTTTGAGTGCACAGTAGACTGTGAAAATAGCTTCCAAAAGTTGATAGATTATCTGACATTAGCTTCGATCTTGACAATCCCATTTGGTGTTGACGGAGTTGAAGTTTTTAATAATGCTTCATTGAAAGAATTGGGATGTGGTCTAATGCAAAATGAGAAGATTATAGCTTATGCTTCTAGACAATTAAAATCACATGAAAACAATTATCCGACCCATGATATGAAATTATAAGCTATCTTATTTGCTTTGAAATTTGGAGGCATTATTTATATGGGGTTAGATGTGAGATTTTCTCTGATCATAAGACTCTAAAGTATATTTTCACCTAGAAAGAATTAAATCCGAGACATAGAAAATGACTTGAACTGATAAAGAATTATGATATGAGTATTTAATATTAGTATTATAAAGTTATTGTAGCAGTAGATACTTTGAGTATGAAGTCTTCCAGAGTAACGAGTTATCTATTTACTTCTGATAAATTTCTAATCCATGATATGGAAAGGTTAGAGTTGGAAGTAGTAAAATATACTGATATATATTATGGTATGCTTGCTTAAATGATTGTACTACTCTGAAGGAAAGAATTCTAGTTGCTTAAAAGTTTGAGGATGAATATTCCAAATTGGTTGATTTAATCCAATCCTATAAGAAACTTGAACTACGAATGGATGATTCTGATGTGATTTTCTACGAGGATAGGTTGTGGGTTCCCAGTGTTACGAATTTGACAAGTATAAATCTACACGAAGCACATTACTCTGGATACACTATCTTACTCTGGGAGTGGTAAAATGTACAGTGATTTGAAATAGTAATTTTTTCTTAGATAGATCAAGTGTGACTATCTAAATACATCAGGTGAAGTAGTAATTTTTCTTTTATTTTGTGTCCTTTGTAGAATAAATGGTCTAGTTCACTTATATTTGACTTTTAACAAAACACAATGGAGAAAATGATTCATATAGCTGACCCCACGTAGTGGGACAAAAGCTTGTTGTTGTTGTTGTTATAATCATCGTATTGAAGTTCTCATTTCTGGGGTTTTTCTTGGCAAAAGTTTTAGGCACTTTTATCGAGATTCATCAGGAAAAATTGACAGTGTTTCTTTTGTGGCTTTTTAGAATAAATGATCTTTTTCACTTTGATATTTTATTCATGTTGTCTGTAAAGTTGATTTAGCTATTTCAAAATTTCTGATACTTGTGCTGAATGGGTTTTCCCCCGTTCTTTTTATTTTAGTTTGAATAAATACTGAAAAATCCAATGATAAATCAGGTGTATATTTTTTGTTATTAGATGCTTAATGACACAGAATCTTTAAGAAATGGTATGTGACATTTCCTTGCCTATTTTCTTATCATAGTAAGCCTGATGTTACATAAGTTCAGAGTTCAGAGAAAGCTTGATGATGTGATTCATTTAGTTTAGGAATGCAATAATATTTAGCAGCCTCCACTTCTATAGTTTTAATTAGGGATGGCATCGCCCATATAAGAAGAGGAAAGCGAAGATCAATAGACCCGAGGAGTCCAAATTTTTGTTGTTGTACGCAATTTCTCATTAGAAACTGTTATTGATTTTGCATTAGTGCGACCATGTAACTTTTTTAACTACTTGAAGCAAAGCACACACACATAACTCCTGATCTGTGGCCACATTTTCCAAAAAAATCCCCCTTACAAACCATAACAATGCTGTCTACCTATCAAGCGGTGCTGTGGTAGTTTACTGGGACACCTGCAGGGCTCAACTGTCAGTGCTTTATACAAGACAATGTTAAGTAACATAATTGATTTTTCTACAGGTTTTTGGGGAGGGTAGTTGCGTGAAGAAAGCTTTGGTAAATATTTCATCTCGTCTAAAGGAGAGCTTACATCGTGAACGTGGTCCATTTCGCGGACGAATTCACTCACCAGAGGGCCATTTTGTTCCTGATGATGACTTTATAAGCAACACTCATCATCAACCAGCATTTGAAAGAGGTGATTTAGTACCTATAACATCTCTTGGTCCAACAAGAGCTAGAAGCAGTGTTTATGGTTCAGAAAGCAAATATATTTTTGATCCCGATGCCAATGCAATGATTGATCGTCCCCAATCATTTTCTAGTGAGGATATTGTATTTCGCATACTTTGTCCCAATGATAAAGTGGAGGCTATTATCGGCTCACCTAATGGAATCAGTGAAATGCTTCAAAATGATGTGGGTGTAGATGTGAGGGTTACTGATCCAGTGGAAGGCTCAGAAGAACGGATTATTGTAATCACTTCAGATGAGGTAGTTTCTTATGACATTTGATTGCCTTTATTGATCTGTCTTAACGGGATTGATTTTCTACTTGTTCAATGTGATTGGCTTCCTTTAGTATTGTGTTCTAAGATATGCACATACACCCACATATTTAACATGGGATGCCATTCTCAGACAGATTCGTTTGGTTCATAACATATTTTAGGTTGTAGCTCAAATGATGAATTGATTTCAAATTAGATCCAAAGTGGTTTGAAACGCATGGAATATATGTTTCTGGCAAGAATGACATGTTAACTTATCTAAGCCTATTTTCAAGTTTATTATGTTAATGGATATTTTCTCTACTTACTATTTTGTTAAAAAAAATCAAGCTATGTTCTAAGATTTCCATAGAAATGACACACCATTTGTAAAAACAAACTTCATAAGGTGCTACTAGTTTGTCTATATCTATGTTCAAATGTAAATTAAATTAAATTGATCTGTGGGCTGTAAATAGGTCGCTAAAAATATTGAAGTTAACTATCAAACAATGTATAAACTAGACTTTATTTATTTATCATCTCGGAACAATCATATGCATAAAAAAAATATATTTCTATTTCTATGATAGCATATATATCTTTGGGTTTGTTTGATAGATTAAGGCTTCGTTTGGGACGCTTTCTTATTGTTTTTTAAAACAGTTTTTTAATAAAAAATTAAAATTTTTATACTAAAAAGTTGTTGTAAGAAGCAGTAAAAAAGCCATCCCAAAAGAAGCCTAATTTTCTCAAGTTGTCCTTTCAACTAATCAACTAAAGAAACAAATATGTGGAAACTGAGCCGACTATAAGGGAAATTCATGAGCCAGTACTAGTTTTCTCATAGTCGCTAATTTTAGGTTGTCTGATGATGTCATAAACACGAAGGAGCTGCGCAGCCTTTCAAAAGGAAAACAAGCTTTCTTTACAGAGGACATGGTTCCATGCATAAGAGGGCGACATTTTCTCTTGCATTGTCTGGACATTTTCTGTCCGAGACTGTTTTTAGTTATGAGTTATTGGTTGAAAGAAATAGTCTGAAATTGATAAATTACTTGAGTCTTATGAGAACTTTGAATCATATTTAACTTTTTAAGTTTCCTTAATAGTTATTCCTGTGGTCATGAAATTGCAAAGTCATCTGCCAACATAAGAAAAACAAACTTCGGACTGCATCATCTACGGAAGTTTCATGCAAAAATTAAATTAAAAAAAAAAATCAACAAACTGGTGGAAAACTACGCTTCTGTTAGGTTTTGTTTCGGACAATTTTCTTACTACTTCTTAAAGGAGCTTTCTAGTACAAAAGTTTTAATTTTTGTACGAAGAAGCTGCATCAAAAAGCAGTAAGAAAGCCGTCCCAAACGAAGCCTTGGTCTTATGATGGCTTATTTCACTTAAGGCTCCTTTTGCAAATGCTAACATCAAAACCCTCCCTGACTAGATGAATCATTATTTTAGGATCTCTTCTTCTCCATCTAACATAAGTTTATTGATTAACATCTTATGTGTTGTTTATGCTAAAGTCTGCTTAAATCATTTGTTAGGGGCCAGATGATGAGCTGTTTCCTGCTCAGGAAGCATTACTCCATGTTCAGACGCACATTGTTGATCTTGGTCCTGATAAAGATAATGTTATAACAACACGACTTCTCATTCAGGATCATGAAATTGGATGTTTGGAGGGGAAAGATGGATCATTATCAGATTTCCAGAGATTGACTTGTGCCAATGTGCAGGTCCTGCCAAAAGAAGAACTTCCTCTTTGTGCATTTGAGACTGATGAGCTCATTCAGGTTTGAACTCTTCATGAATAGGTGAAGCATGTTTGCTTGTATCTTGCGGTCATATGATGTTTATTAAGTTGTTAACTCTATGAATCACTCATTGCTTAAAAAATAAAGTTTATATATAGTCAAATACTCTTAAGGTGGTACTGTAATTTCAGATTGTTGGGGAGATACGAGCAGCTCGAAAAGCTCTTGTTCAGGTAACTACAAAGTTACGTAGCTACCTGTATCGAGATATTTCCACGCTTGATGATACGATAGCACCTTCCTTTCCTGCCACAAGCCTTGTTGGTAAGGTTGTTGGACTTGATTCTAGTTCTACTAGAAGTTTATCTCGTGAAGGTTATCAAGGAAGTGATCCTCCCATCGCATCTTTTGAAAATGTTCGTGCTTCATCAGTAAATTGGTCATCAAAGGTAATGTTCACTTATTTGTTCCCTTCATTTCATGTTGACAACTTGAAAGGAAAATGCTTTACTTCCAGATAAACGTGTTACCCAACAAGTTTCCAATCGATGTGCTGTTCTTGGAGTGTCTTAAATTGGAGAGTGGGTCTTGCAATTTTATTCTTATGCTCGGGTGGTTAATATTACGGTACGCCCAAACCGGCCCAAGAGGGGCCGGTTCAGACATATAGGAGGCGGGTTAAGCTGCCTCCTTTAGGGGCCACCGCCTACGCAAGTGCCCCCCCGGGCAGCAAGTATAGAGAGAGAGAGAGGGGGGTTTGCATGAGGAGGCTAATTTGAATTTATTTTATATTAGGAAGCTTTTATTAGGAGGTGGGGTATTTAAAAGCATGAGAAGGTAGGGTTAGGATTTATGTTTTGATTGTTGTTTCTCTTGGAGTTCTCTTGGTGGCTTTGGGCTCTAGATTCATCATCTATAGATTGGGAGAGAACGATCCTTCTCTCGAATTGAGGATCAATTGTATCATTGCTTGTTTTTGCCTTTGGTTTATTCCCATAACACAATCTACTGTTTTTGATTGTTTTTCATTGGAGATCTTGAAGTTTTCTCGCTGTTTTCACCAATTCTTGTTAGGGTTGCTTGCGAACTCAACTATTTCCCGTTAGGGTTACTTGCGAACTCAAGTATCTCCTATCAGTTAAATGGCCAATGGGTTTGTTTGGGAGCTATTCTATGGAAGTTGTACTGTCACTCTTCAGGCCGAATGTCTAATCAGGCCGTATGCTCTAATCAAACGACATTCAAACACATTTCTGAATTGTACTTGGTATCTCTGCTTGCTGATCATGTCAATGCTCTTAGCTGCATTTAGTACACCTTATATTTAAAAGATTACCTTTGGATTTCAATAAGTTGCTATACAAAGTTCCCTAATTTTGAGTTTGAAGAATTACATGGCATAGCTAGAGGGTTAATTGCACTTGAACAATCTTTTGATGTTTTATGACTCAAACATCTCGTAGTTGCTTGTAAACTTTTGGACTATCTCTGGCTTCTTGAATCAAAGGCCTTCTAGTCAGTCATCTGATAAGAAACAATAATTAGCACTTCACTACTAATATGACATTCATCTCTTGATACTAAACTACTCTTTGTTGCTCGTTCTTTAGGTGTTGGATTCAAATGTTTATCAGATGATGTGTTGAATAATCTTGGCACTGTATGCATGGAAGGGTTTTTTAATTGTTTTTTGGTTACTGACTACCCTCAGCTCAGTCTTCCTGTTTCTTCTTTAAAAAAAAAAAAAAACTTATTATCTTATAACGTAATTCTACAAATCTTTGATCAAATTGCATGATCCAGTAACGGCTATTTTCAACTATTGACTTCCTATTTCATTTGAATCTCCATACTATATTTAGTCCCTCCTATATTTGCAGAAGTATGATATACGGAACCTGTCTTTAGAGAGACGTGCCACTATTTCAATTGTGGTAGATTCTTGTTCATACTCTGGTGAAGATTTAGTGAATTACATTAGCATATCGAAAGTACTCATTGAAGCTTAAGATTTCTTGATACTTCTCTATTTAAACCAATTTATATAGGCATAAATTAGAGCCATGGCTAAGAACACCGACTGCCGTCAAAATATTTTTGATCATGATTCTGGCTGTGAATTGCTCTAGGAAAGTTTTCCTGAATGCACGGTGACATTCTTTTTTTACTGTTTAATTAGCTAATGCCCTCCTAAAGATAGAAGCTGATAAGGATTGTGATTTTGTAATATCTGCACAATATTGAACACGAGCTTAATATCTTTATCTCCACTGGTCTCGCACTAATTATTTTTGTCCTTTATAATTGCAGTATGGCTTCGCTTGAGTCATACTGGAACTTATGTTCGTATATAGAAATTTTAAATCAAAGCAAAGATATAATTTTTTTAAATCTGTTTTAGTTGGTTAGAGATGGAAGTAACACCTAAATTGAATTAGAAAATATGTTTTGAAAAATGATAAAATTTGCTAGCTTCATCCTTTGGTTGGGTATAGTTAGAAATCAATATTAACTTTTAAATCCATAATCCCTCAAAACTTTCTCAAATGCATGTAATGATTTTGATTTCACAGTCAAAATGAATGAACACGGAGTCATCAATTTCAATTTGTTTAACATATTATCCATCTACAATGGAACCAAATAAGTCCTTGGAGATTTCTTGTTTGTTGTTCTAGAGTAGTTTGTTCCAATTCGTGCTGTTATTATACAAAATCCCAAAAAACATTTGCAATTCTTGACACTAGGATCTTGCAATTGGTGCAAGCGGACCATTGGAACCGGAGCAAAACTGCATTAATGATATTGGGAGGCAAAGCAGTTTGAAAAGGTAAAAGGTCAAACATTTTGTTCACATATTCTGGTGGCTTCCTTTCATTGATTTCATGTCCTTTGTTCTGGCAGATTTAGTGCCTCTCTCGTTACCAAGAGTACCCTCGAGGTTGTTATACCAGACGATGCAGTTTCAAGTCTAATTACAAAATCAGGGAGCAAGCTTGCTCAGATAAGCGAGGTGCATCTCCAGTTCAAACACAAATGAGCTTCCTAGTCCCTCAAAAAGATTTTTTTTTTTCTAATTTTGATTGTTTCTTGATTGAAAAGATGTCTGGTGCAACGATGACCCTTCTTGAAGATAGGCCTGACTCTAGTGATAAGGTTGTTCAGATATCAGGAACTCCAGAGCAGGCTGAGAGAGCTCAAAGCCTGCTCCAGGGATTTATTCTAAGCTGTAAGTTCAACACATTCTTCTTAAAATTAAGGATAAGTTTTAAAGGAATGTTGTACCTGTCTTGGAGTTCTGTCTTTATAGAATACTTTCTAGATAATTCTTGGACACATTCCCGTATTGGATATCGGTTAAAAATTTTCAAAAGAAAGTTGCTACATTGGATATGTCATTTGTTGCATCTCGTTTGAAAAATGGTTTTATATCATAGCATTTTTCAAATTATATATATATATATATAGCTTTAGGGGAATTTTTTTCTTTTATGCTTATTGCCTTGTAAATAATATTCAACATGTGCAACGTTTATTTATGAGGGGAATATTTTTCCTATGTGCACACTATTATCATTTAGTTGGCATTTGCATGAATGTGAATACAGTGTAAACTATTTGCTTATATCAACGCATATATTATCTAAAATGGTGTACATTATCTAGAAGGATGCAATATGTAGTAACAAGATTAATATATGATTTGAATATAAATTATTGCTAATAATACCTTAAATAAATCAATTATCATGGTTCATTAAAGGATGTGATCTTAATTTGAGTTCTTAAGACAACATACCATGATTTAACAATATTTATTAATTGATAATATTTGAATGTAAAGTTTCATTAGGAGTAACTTAATTAACACTAATGATAGTTAAAACCAATATATAATAATGTGTGTATTATAATTATCCAATATAGATGGTTTGACCATGTAAAACGGCAGCCTTCCTTTGACCCTGTTAGGAGAGTAGATGTATTAGATTTGACCTATGTTAAGTAAGGTAGAGGTAGATCTAAAAAGACTTGGTTATAAAATATTATAAATAACATTTCTTTATTAGATTTAAAAATGGGAATTTGACTCTTAACATGACACAATGGTGAAAAAGGATTCATGTAGCTGACCCCACATTGTGGGATAAAGGCTTGATGTTGTTGTATAATTATCCAATATTCACAAACAGAAAAAGTATTGCATAATCAACTAGATGTAATTATAATGATAATTTTCTTAATTTACGTTCCTTGTAATGCAAGGACATGGGGTTAATTTCTTTATTCCTGGATCCTTCAATTGCTGGATTTGTTGTTTCCCATCGCAGCTCCACATTTAGGCTTCGTTTGGAAGGCTTTCTTATTGCTTTGTAAAGCTGATTTTTAGTAAAAAATCTCTTGAAAGCACATAAAAAATAGTGTTCTAAAGCTGTTCCAAATGAAGCCTTAATCTCTGCAAATTTATCCCCTTGAGGGTTCTCTCACATTTGTTTACTAGTTTTTATTGGATTCATAAACATTAATCATTCAAAAAAATGTTTTGTGCAGTATTATGACTTGTTGGCCTTTGCTAAATATGGTAGACCTCAAAGCCAGTATTGCGTATGCTGAAGAATTGCTTGGATGCAGCCATTGGCTTTGCTCCTTAAGCTGACGATCTTTATTTCTCATTTTTAATTTACTTCTGAGGGCATTTTGTATATCAATTTGTATATCAAGTTACCGTTGCTTTGGAGCAATATCTTTCCTGTAGTTGTAATTGTTGAAGGATTTAGAGTTAGTGACAATTATCACTTTTTTTTAAATTGGATGTCAATGCTTTCATCATTGCCTCGAATTTGTTGAAGGTTCTCATTTTATTGATTTAATGAAAAAACAGTATAATCATTTGTTATGGTAGACAATTGTTAAGATCACTGACTTGTAAGAGAATGTCATTCTGGTTTTATTTGGGACGATTTTTTTATTGCTTCTTAATTATTGCTTCTTAAAACGGATGGGACTCGGCTCTCTCCAGACTTTGACAAGCAACTTCTCGGAAACATCCCTTTTGATTGTAACCTCCTACGTTGCTGGTTGCTCTCAAGTTGAATGGGACTAATGCCTCTCATGGTAGTCAACAAAGAGAATTGATGTCCTTTGTAGGTTGTAGCTTAGCTTTCCCAAAGCCTCATCCACCTCAGCCTCTATATCTTCTCCAACTTAACCTGTTTGGAAGCCTGGCTTTTTCATTGTGATCTTATGAGAAGTTGAACGCCTACAGAAAATTTGGTCCCTTCCCCTCAAAACTAACCATCTAAGCAGATCTTTCTTTTTGGCCTTTTCATTATGGGAGCATTCCAATGGTTAGCTAGTTTTCATTGGTCATATCTTTAGTGTTCTCGTTGAGGTCTCTTTGGCTTTGAGAGAAAATTAAGATTAGGGGTGCAAACGAGTTGAGTCGAGAGCTCGAGTCAGGGTGTGTTTGAGTTGAGCTCAACTATCATATACTGAGCTTGAGCTCGAACTCGAGTCGAGCTCAAAAATCGAGCTCGAGATCGACTCGTTCAACAGAAAATTGTAGAAAAGCCGGCGGGCTTTTGAGAATTAGGAGGGATTTTAAAATTGTAGCAGGATTATTATTACCTTTTATAAAAGAAATTTAAATTTAGTAATTTCGAGCCTCGCCTCAGCAAGTTTGAACTCGAGCTTGTGGCTCCATAAGCTCGACTTGGAGCTCATAAATGAGTCGAGCTCGAGCCGGCTCAGCTCACTTACACCCCTATCTGAGATTGGGGGAATGGATTTTGAAAAAAAAAAAAAAATCAACTGCTACAATGCCTCCTTGATGGAGTTGGTGAACTAATAGGATGCCCAATGTGACATCTACCTACCATTACCTTCACACTAGCAATAGAGGGAATGCATCATGATCAATGGTCAGTTTTCCACCTACACATACAATTAGGGTTATTAAGTTAAGTGCCCACTAGGTCATTTATAATAAGTTGCACACATCCTATACTATTAAAATTGATTGACTTTAAATGCTGACATTACACTCACTTGGCAATCAATTTGGCAATTTTCTATAGTCCAATTGGTCACACTCATTGCCTCTATAATCTACGTTTTTGTTGCGGGCTAGAATATATGCGACGATAGAGTTAGAAAATTTATGTCTCAGCATTGTACGGATGTCCAACACACAGATAGTAGAGAAATAAAAACACCATGATTTTTACGTGGAAAACCCTGGAAAGGGAAAAAACTACGAGGCCACGCCCGGCTGAAATAATTTTACTAGTGTTTGTTTAAGGTACAAGAGGCCGACTCGTCCTTAAAATTTAGGACGATCAGATTACAATGCTTCACTTTCGGATTGAAGTTTGATTACAAATAAGTTATGTATTCTAGCTGAATTCAGAGTCCGACGTTACTTGGAAGTCGGGCAGAGTTCCGGCGTCACTTGGGCTTCGAGTAGAATTCTTGCATCACTTGCGCGTTTGGCAGAATTTTGGCATTACTTGAAAAAAATTCCAGCGACACTCAGGCGTCGGACAGAATTCTGGTATCAACCGGGCATCGGGTAGAATTTCGACGTCACTCGGGCGTCAGACAGAATTCCGGCTGTGGTCGTGGAGGAGTTTCTTCCCTTCAATCCTTTTCTCTTCCTCTTCTCTTCTTCTTCTTCTTCTTTTCTTCTCCTTGCTTCGGTCCCCTCTCAAGAGAAATGAGGGGTCTATTTATAGATTTTCTGGCGTGACATGACCCGTAAATAGGCGATAGATCAGGGGAAAATGGGGAGTGGTCGGATGGACGGTCGATATTGAATCCCTCGATCGTGTACCGTTCTTTAGACATTTGAAGGTCTTAATGATTTTTGAATTCGACGATCTTGGGCTCGTTGGATTCGTCTCGTCGAGCTGCTCGATTCGACTATAAGCTCGTCATGTTTGGAAACCGTTTGGTAACTCAAATTGTGGTTCAAACTTTCCAATAGTGCTTCAGGTCTTTGATTTGGACTCATTTGGGCTCGGATTGAGTCGAATTTTGTGTCGTTGGGTTCGTATTTCCGAGACTTTCAGTTTGACTGTAAGTTTGCTAAAATCGGAGTTCTGGCGCTCCCGTATTTAATTTTTGAAGTTTCTAGCTTGATTTTGCCTCGAGTTCGTGCCCGATCAAGATAATTTTTGTACGACATATCAATTCTTATTTTATTTTATTAATTCTTTGTGGAGGTATAACATTTGATGATGACGGTGGCCATTTTGTGAGGTTAATTGTTAGAAATGGTTATGGATCTTTAGTTTGATATTTAGAGAAGTATTCTAGAGTTTTTGGTGGAATAATGAGGGGTTTAGATATGTATATTAGTAGAAATGTTAAAAACTAGTCTAGTTTGGATAGGTTTTGGCTGATTTGGAAGATCACTTTAGGGATTGACATTTATGTGAGATTAGTTACTGTAAATGATAGTGAAAGGTTATATTAGGATGTGACTTTGATCTGGAGTTGATGGTAGAATTTGGTTGAGTTTAAGAGGATGTTGAAGGTTAAGGAATAAGACTAGGTCCGAGTGTTTCCTATTAGGCTAATGGTTTTATGGAAGTGTTTAGAAGGGTTTTATGATTTTGATTGTTAGTTTATTGGTTTTAGGGAATGCTTATGAAGTGGGAGAAGAGTTGTGAATAGTTTAGAGTAAGTGTTAAAGAAGATTTGTAAGTAACATAAAAGAAATCAAGATAATTACCTAATCTCACCAAAGAAAAAAGACAAATTTGAAACAACCAAGCAAATGAAGAGAACTTCTCCATAAAATTATTTCATTGCAATACTAAAAATTTAAATGCATATCAATCCATATTTTTAGGCATTACAAGATAACTACTAAAAATAAATAGATGAAAAAATGAAGGGGGTTGGTGGACATTAAAGAGGAGTTCCATATGCCCATTCTTTTATTATCTCATCCATACCTAATGATTTCATGGCCGATCATACAAGCTTCTAAATGATAAAGAAAATACAAACAATATATAAAATATTTAAAACTATGGGTCCATTATTGAAAAAATTATTCTGTGCGGATACCGGATGGCGTCCGAAGACCAACCAGAACGTGCCTTGTCACTTTTTTGCTCAGTAATGATGCTCGGTACCGCTGTGTATCGGGTGACATGACGAGTTCTAGTTGGTCTCGGGAGACCAACCATAACGCGCCACGTCACTTTTTTTGCTCGGTAACGGTGCTCAGTACCGCTGTGTACCGGGTGACGTGATGCGTTCTAGTTGGTCTTCGGACCGTCCAGTGTCTACATAGAGTAATTTCTCCCATTATTAAGCTCTTGTAATTTGACATTCTTTTCTTTGATTAGTTTCTTGTGTTTTAGTCTTAGCTCTTAAAATTAGGCTTTTAGCTTGATTATTTGCATCCACATGATTTTCTACATCAACATTCTTTATGATTATACTTTGATTGTTTTTCTGTCTCTCTCTCCCCCTCTTTCCTTCTCTCCCTCTCTCCTCATCTCTTAAATCTGTTTTGTTTAAAGTGGAAATTAGAAATGGACATCGTCTATTCCACACTAGGGTTGCCGTAAGAAGTCTTCTTTGACACTAGTTGTTCCATTAGCTAAACACACACTTCTAAGATATGTCATACTTAATTTGGATTCTATAATGATCCCCTCACAAAACTTGAGCTCAATGCTATTTTTTAAAGAACTAAACACACCCTTCTAGAACACTACTTCAATGGTGACCTCTTGGAAATCAACTTCTATGGAATCCTTAAAAAATTTGAGCTTGACCCGCTATTCCAATAACTTGAAGCACTCTTCCAAAGAACTCAACTCTCTTAGCACCTCTCATAGAATGTGATATTCAAGTTGTTTTCTAGAGCTTAACTTCCATGACACTATTCTCAAACTTAAGCTTAATTCCCTCTATCGAGTTTGGGATGTTATAAAATGATATTAGAGAAATACACCAGTCGGAAGATGTGAGCTAAGTGTCATATAAGATAAAGTGCTACACCATAGGAGCCTCCTCTTGAATCTTATATGGGTCAATGTGTTATTTGGTAGGAGTCATCACTTGAACTTGTAGATGCCAACTCTAGAATGCTATTTGTATGGTGGATAATTCTGAGATAATGATACTTAAGAGGACACCAATTACTAAAGTGAGAAAGATTGTGAAACTCATTAAGTAAAATAAGCCAAGCTTTTAAACATAGAGATGACTTTTGGTGTAATGGTTGAAATTTTATTAAGAAACTCTGGAGTTAAGCATGTTCACCCTGGAGAAATTCTAGGATGGGTGAGCTTCTGGGAAGTTATACCAACAGGACAAAACCGTGAGGCCTTTAGGCCAAAGTGGATAATATATCGATAGTTAAGGGTTTGAGCTATTACACATGTGTCCTACAAGATTGGAGTAACAAATCAAGCGAGCTACCTTCTTAAGAAATACAATCCCTAATTTGTCAAACATCTCAATTTTGGGATGAGATATTCTCATGATATTTCATTTTGGGTTGAGGTGTTTTAATTTAGTAGATAAATATTTATGACCCAACATTCAAAATATTATCTTGACCAATGAAATGCCCATTTATTGATGAATTATGAGATATTTTGAATGATGTCAATGCTTTCATCATTACCTCGAATTTGTTGAAGGTTCTCATTTTATTGATTTAATGAAAAAACAGTATAATCATTTGTTATGGTAGACAATTGTTGAGATCACTGACTTGTAAGAGAATGTCATTCTGATTTTATTTGGGACGATTTTTTTATTGCTTCTTAAAACGGATGGGACTCAGCTCTCTCTAGACTTTGACAAGCTAGCAACTTCTCGGAAACATCCCTTCTAATTGTAACCTCCTACGTTGCTGGTTGCTCTCAAGTTGAATGGGACTAATGGCTCTCATGGTAGTAAAAAAAGAGAACTGATGTCCTTTGTAGGTTTGATTGTATTGTAGCTTAGCTTTCCACCTACACATACAATGTGACATCTACCTACCATTACCTTCACACACTAGCAATAGAGGGAATGCATCATGATCAATGTCAGTTTTCCACCTACACATACAATTAAGGTTATTTAGTTAAGTGCCCACTAGGCCATTTATAATAAGTTGCACACATCCTATACTATTAAAATTGATTGACTTTAAATGATGGCATTACACTCACTTGGCAATTTTCTATAGTCCACTTGGTCACACTCATTGCCTCTATAATCTACGTTCGTATCTTATTTTATTAATTATTCGTGGAGGTATAACACTTGATGGCGATGGGTGGCCATTTGGTGAGGTTAATTGCTACAAAAGGCTTTGGATCTTTAGTTTGATTTTTAGAGAAGTATTTTAGAGTTTTTTGTGGAATAATGAGGGGTTTAGATATGTATATTAGTAGAAATGTTAAAGACTAGTCTAGTTTGGGCTGGTTTTGAATGATTTGGAAGATCGCTTTAGGGATTGACCTTTATGTGAGATTAATTACTGTAAATGATGGTGAAAGGTTATATTAGAATGTGAACTTGTGATCTGGAGTTGATGGTAGAATTTGGTTGAGTTTAAGAGGATGATGAAGGTTAGGGAATAAGACTAGGTTCAAGTGTTCCCTATTAGGCTAATGGCTATATGGAAGTGTTTAGAAGGGTTTTATGATTTTGATTTTATTGATCTTTGGGAATGTTTATGAAGTGGGAGAAGAGTTGTGAATAGTTTAGAGTAAGTGTTTAAGAAGATTTGTAAGTAACATAAAAGAAATAAAGATAATAATCTAATCTTACCAAAGAAAAGACACATACTTGAAGCCACCAAGCAAATGAAGAGAACTTCTCCATAAAATTATTTCATTCCAATGCTAAAAATTTAAATGCATATCAGTCCATATTTTTAGGCATTACAAAATAACTACTGAAAATAAATAGAGGAAAAAATGGAGGGATTTGGTGGACATTAAAGAAGATTTCCGTATGCTGATATAGATTAGTCTTCGGTATGCCCATTTTTTATTATCTCATTCATACCTAATGATTTCATGGCCGATCATAAAAGCTTCTAAATGATAAAGAAAATACAAACTACATATAAAATATTTAAAATTATGGGTCTATTATTGAAAAAATTATTTTGTGCGAACACTGGATGGCATCCGAAGACTAACTAGAACGCGCCATATAACTTTTTTGCTTGATAATAGTGCTCGGTACTATTGTGTATTGTATGACGTGACACGTTCTGGTTGGTTTTATGACCATCCGGTGTCTGCACAGAATAATTTCTCCCATTATTGAGCTCTTGTAATTGGGCATTTTTTTTTCTTTGATCATTTTCTTGTGTTTTAGTCTTAGCTCTTAAAATTAGGCTTTTAGCTTGATTATTTGCATCCACATGATGTGCTACATCAACATTCTTTATGGTTATACTTTGATCATTTTCCTATGTCTCTCTCTCCCTCTCTCCTCATCTCTTAAATATGTTTTGTTTAAAATGGAAATTAGAAATGGACATCGTCTATTTCACACTAGGGGTGCCGTAAGAAGTCTTCTTTGACACTAGTTGTTCCATTGGCTAAACACACACTTCTAAGAGGCGTCACACTTAATTTGGATTCTATAATGATTCCTTCACAAAACTTGAGTTCAATGCTATTTTTTAATGAACTAAAAACACCCTTCTAGAACACTCCTTCCATAGTGACCTCCTGAAAATCAACTTCTATGGCATCCTTAAAAAATTTGAGCTTGACCCGCTATTCCAAGAACTTTAAGCACTCTTCCAAAGAACTCAACTCTCTTAGCACCTCTCATAGAATGTGCCATTCGAGTTGTCTCATAGAACTTAACTTCCATGACATTATTCTAGAACTTGAGCTTAATACCCTCTATCGAGTTTGGGCTGTTATAAAATGGTATCAGAGCAATACACCAGCCGAAAGATAAGAACTAAGTGTCATATAAGATAAAGTTCTACACCATTGGAGCCACCTCTTGAATCATGTATGGGTTAAAGTGCTATTTGGTAAGAGTCATCACTTGAACTTGTAGAGGCCACCTTTAGAATCCAATCTGCCTAGTGGATAATTCTGGGATAAAGATGCTGATGAGGACATCAGTTACTTAAGTGAGAAAGATTGTGAAACTCCTTAAGTAAAATAATCTAAACTCTTAAACATAAAGATGACTTTTGGTGAAATTTTATTAAGAAACTTTGCAGTTAAGCGTGTTCATCCTTGAGAAATCCTAGGATGGTTGACCTTCTAGGAAGTTACACAAACAGGATAAAATCATGAGGCCTTTAGACCGAAGTGGATAATATCTCGATAGTTAAGGGCTTGGGTTTTACACATGTATCCTACTAGTTTGGAGTAACAAATCAAGCGACCTACCTTCTTAAGAAATACAATCCCTAATTTGTCAAACATCCCAATTTTGGGATGAGGTATTCTCAGGATATTTCATTCTGGGTTGGGGTGTTTAAATGTAGAGTGTAATGTAGATAAATATTTATGACCCAACATTCAAAATATTATCTTAATCAATGAAATGCCCATTTATTGATGAATTATGAGATATTTTGAATTTTATTCCAACAATTAACCACAACCCATCAATTGAAGGTTGATGCATCAAGTTTCAACATCATTTGTCTTTAATTAAAAATGGTCAATAATTACCTCAACCCTTATAAATGCTTGTTTTAAGCATGATAAATACTTGTTCTCAAGATGACATGACCATCTTTTGGTCTTTGTGCTTGAGATCATAATCTTTACCTAAACTTTTGACGGCTTCTCTTCCAAGAAGAGAACTTAAATTTTTTAAAAAGTTCAATAAACCTTAAAATGATTTGGTATGATCTTAACTTTCAATAAATTGTTTAGTTATTCATTTCAAAATTTAAGAATTTTTATGATTATGAGACTTTGTAATTACTTAACCTATATCAAATTTACTTATTGCTTAAATATTTTTTGCATAATAACATCCAAATTAATTATTAATATTATTTTATTAATATAATTGAACACAATAAATTCTAATTAGTTAGATTAACTGAAAAATAATACCAATTTATTTTAGTTAATATTTTAATTAATTAATATTAACCATGAAGAAAAAAATTAACTTTTTAGCTAACATATTTGTATATAATTAATAATTTATTTGAATGATTATTAATAATTTTCATTGATAAAAACTTTAATCCAATTAGATTAATTAACTCATAATTAGTAAGATTATTATAATTAATTGATAATTTCAAAATATTAAATTAATTTAAGTTTCTCAAAGATTAATATAATTTTAACATTTGTCTACCAACACAGTATTTTACTAATTCAGATTTACTTAAATCTCACTACAATTAAATTCCCTATTGTCAAACAGCCCCTTCTCTCTAAAAAGAAACATAAAATGATGAAATAGCCCATGGCATTGATAGAGAAGTATGCATTAAAATTAAGCAAAGATATACCATTAAAATAATTATTATAATTAAACCAATTTAATTAAATATTAATTTTAAAAAAATAATATAATAAATATAATTATTAAGTATTTATATTAATGATAATTAACTTTAGATTCCAATACTATTTTATAAAATTAATTAACTTAATAATAAAAATATGTTGTTAAA